ATTTWAAAAAATGTATTTTTATTAATTAAAAACTAATATTTGAATTTTTTTAGGTCATCAACTTCCGAGCTCTATATTATAATATTTTATTTACAACATACAGAGTTTCGTAATTTTCATTATATATATTATACTGTATCAAAAAATGAAATATGTCCAAAAACGATCGGTTGACTCTTGGTGGTTCCGGGTGCCAGGACGACGTCRTTTCAGCACCCGGACGGGGGATTTGGTTTTGCGTTAAAAAGAGAGGGGTACAATTTTTTTTAAGGAGGGTACAAATGGATACAAATCGGGTACAAAAAATGAGATATGTTAGGGGAGGTTTTGATGATTTACGGATGCCATGACGACGTGCTTACCTATATAGGTAGGTACATGTACCGAATGTTACTACGCTAAAATTAAATCAAGCAAAATAAATACAAACATATGCAATATTATTATTTTTCCGTGAGGAGTTAAGTCCATCGATTGGAAACTCTAATTCCAAGTAAGTACATTTATTTAAATTATTTTAAACGAATTAATAGTTGTATCGATTTTTACGATATATCGAGATTTTAAACGTGTTCTTAAACATTAATTAGGACCTAGGCAACATATTTTAGGTGTGTAGGTAGTTACTATTTTAAATTTTCAKGTAGGATATAACTATCACTCTCAGTACAAAAATAAAAAATAAAATTATTTATCATAAACGTAAAATTTGACATATTGTTCGTTTGTAAGACGAGGACATCAATAGACACATGCTAGTGTGCGAGTGTGCCGTCCCCTTAAGACAATCGCAAATTATTTTGTAGTTAAAATGTATACAATTTTAAATTTAAATACCCAAGCTTTGATAACTTTATATTACAATTTATTAGGTTCCTCATACCTAAGTTATTCTTATAAATTAAGAAATATCGAAAAATTATTATCATCCTACTATTGTCAGCGTTTGAAGTTTAAGTTTTAACTAAATTGAATATTTAAATAAAAATAATAGAAAAAACGAAAGCCCTTTATTATATTATACCAAAATTTGAAAGTGGGGATTTGAGGTAAATGTATCTAGTAGTGACACATAAAACTGATTTAAATCTACATAAAGTTAAAATACGCAGATAGACATATAAAATGAACAATGAATCTTCAAAAAAATTTTAATAACTAAAAGATTATAGAATATAATAATAGATTATAAGAAATATTGGGAACAAGAATAAATTTAATAAATTTATTTTAATGTCCTTAAGTGTCACTAATGGGTGGCTTCTTTATAATCACGTCTTTCTCACATATGCTTATTGTGCTAAATTGTACAGATTGCATATTACATGATAAAAATTTTAAAAATTTAAAAATTTAATGTAAGTGCTTATTGATTATTAAAATGTAACTTAGTATTCATACAATTCAAAAAAGTGAAAAAATGAAAAGTTAAATTGTTATTTATGATGATAATAATAATACTGATTATACTTCAGAGCTAAAAGAGAGATGGAATATTATAATTAAAGGTGTAACTAAGTGACGGTTAATTACGTAAAGATGCATAATATTATACAAGGTAGTTGCGATTACCGATTTCACCCAATCCACCTTGCTTTAGTGTGTGTTCACTTTATTTAAGTATATACCTATCTGTTAAAATATTAAATRTATATTCATTTACCAGTTTAAATGAAATTCAATTATTTGAGCGGGAATTACCTGTTTCCGCCAAAATTTGAAACGGGCGATGCGGAATCGGTCACTTCAAATTTTGGCGGAAACGATACATGCCCATTTCAACAATAATATCGCAATATATTTTGTTATTTTATCATGTAGGTACATTTATGATTTATAACAAAAAATCATGGAAACACTTTAAACTAAATAGCCAAACGGCGAAGCCAGGGTGGCAGGGCCGCTTGGTTAAGAACCACCCCTTCTCCTCCCAAGGCTGTCTAGCTGTGTTTATACACATCAATAACAATTTAATATTTTAAAACTTAAGTAGATATATACTAAATGTTGGTGGGTTTTACACAGATGTAAACAGATAACAATTAAACAACAATATTTTATCACTAAAAACTGTATAAATATACAATATAGACGTTACATTATCATATATCAATATCTCATGTTTATCATTTCTTTTGTAACAAAAAAAATTTTTTAGAAAAATATAGCACGCATTACACATAGATAAAAGGTTACTTTGTACATGATTTTATCACACTGCAGCCAAAAAAGTATAACTTCCAAACCAAATTAACTATAGGCTACTTGCACAACACCGAAAACATACAAAATGGGATAGATTAGGCTAAAAAGATAAAAATTAATGAAAATTAAATAATTACCTTTTTTGCTTAAAATTCTCATCGGAGGTTGTAGTTCTCAGAGTGGAGCAAGTAATAACTGATCAGTGATCTAAAATATTATGATTATTAAAAATTATGTACCTATTAACAAATATTATTAAAAATATTGAATATGCATATTGATGACAACAATTTTCTAAATTGTGGAAGGGGGGTGAATCCAATCTTTCGAATAAATATAAATTTTTGGTATATTATGCATGTATTAAATTTTTTTTCAGGCYTTCTTTTCCATCATTCCCCCTCCGTCACCCTAAGGTGAACTCTCAATTCCAACTCCCGATTTATTTTCAATGTTAGTTTAAATAACAAGTACATGACATTTTAAGAACACAGTATAATATATTAAAAATAACATAATTTAAAAAACATATTCTGTTTATATGCTAATTCAACAACGGTTTTCAAACTATAATAGTTAATAATTATAATATTAATAATAATGATAATAATAATAAGAGGACGATTTATTCAAACGAATATAATAATAAAGTATAATAGTCGTATAATAATAATAATTAATAATAACTTAAGAATGTCACATGTTTGGAAAACATGTGGAAGTTGTAGGCCATTTATTGCAATGGGACAGTCTGTATTTTAGGAATTGCTATCGTTCAATARCCACGATTTGAAAAAAACGTATTAGTCATTCGAACAGACAAAATAGTAGTAATTTAATAACTGCAGTATATACGTACGACGTACCTACCTAATAAGAGTGGCGGATTTAACGGACGTTTAGTTAGCAAATGCCGACGAGGCCCCTCTCTAACTATAAATACACTAGGRCCCACCTAAATTAAATAGTTAATTTTTTGAATTTTTTAGCTCAAAATAATAAATACATTAACCTGTAAATAATTGTATATACATGTAACCTATTGTAAACCAACGCCAATGGCCTTTGACGCCGAGGCTTAATAAAAAATAAATAAAAAATAAAAATACATTTTATGTTGCAAACTAGAATATAATTTACCATTATTACTTTTTAGGTTAGGTAATTAAAATAACAACTATGTAAGTGTACTACTAAGTACTAATACATTTTTTACGAGACCCCTCTTATGAATTTCTTGACTTCATTTGAACTCTTAAATCCACCATCGAGTGATAGGTACGTATAATACTTAAAGTATATTTTATTCGCGTTTTATTGATAATACACCTATGATAGAAATTACTTTGTTGGCTTTAATAATATTTTTTAACAAAACCTGTAGGCTTCTGTTTAAAAAAAGCATATTTTACCAACATTTTCACAAAATACCGAACATTGTCGTTGCAATAATAAGCCTAAAAATCGACCTATGGAACTAAATTTAATTAGTTTCAAACGTCGCAAATGGGCTAAGGTTAAAAATTAAAATTTTAAAATGGCCTACGACAACATATATATATATATAAAGATTATAGATGATAAGTATATACATTTGATATAATATCTTATAATAGTTATATAAGAGTTTCAACAGGTACAAAAACCCTATACAAAAATAAATATATTATGTATATCGTATAGTATATAAATGTATACATAATATATATAAAATTACATTTGATGTCTACGTACTTAAATAGCATAACAGTATATATGATATACTACGTAAATAAGTATAGTCGTAATTAGGTATACTATAGCCGGCAACCGCCTATTCTATACCAAGTACCAAGTATAATGTTGAGTATATAAATAGCAATAGTATAATTATTTATAATTTATTACACAACTATAAAAATATGTAACAGGCCTTATTCTAACAAACAGCGTAGAAGCCAAAGTGGGTAGTATTAAAAATCAAAAGTGTGGCAGTCCGCGATTTAACGATCATGTGGGCTATGTCAGAGTACAATAATCGCCTGATGTACCTTTGCTTTTGATTCAACTGCGCCACTATATAATATGAATTGAAATAAGAATATATACCTGACGTATAGCAATATGTTTAGAAATGTTGTGACCGAGGGGTTAGGATAACTTGGGGCATTTCAATTTCAAAATTCTCGAAATCCCGTCCTAAATGTTATAATATTACATCGTAATTCGTAAAATATCAAATTAATAAACACTCGTGGATCTTAAAATCTTAAAAATTACCTCTTCTACCCTTTCATCAGAGAATCAATCATCAACACATATCCCATTATACTTTGGACAAAAATGAAAAAATCTTTATGATAGGGCCTGCTATAATGTATACATACTAATTATCTATAAACTCAACAATATCATGTAAATACATACGTATCAACAATGCCAAAATGAAAACAAATATATGAGGGGTTCACAATTGTTTTAGTATTTTAAAAAAAATACAAAATCKGGGGYGTAGTGGCCGGGTGGATTAARGCGTCGGTTGCGACGCGCACCGTCGCCGGTTTGAATTCGGGTCATAGGCAGCATCGCTTTCCGGGCAGTTCACGCTGTCTGGAAAGAGAGGCATTATTCTTGATACAATATCAGAGCCAAAATCTACTAATAAATGTTTCTACTTATGGAAAAAATTCTAGGATCCGGACACCCCTGGACCCCATCCATGCAGTCACGGCATTGCTTAATGTATATTTAATATTTATATTAGGTATGTACAATATAATAAATATAATTATTATATACGCGGCATGGTATACACTATTATAAAAGTATTACAGAAATATAAAATATATATAAGGTCATATTCAAATTTCAAATATAAATATATATAGTTCATATAAAGTGTGTTAATTAAACGGAGTCATAGTAACTCTAATTCAGCAAGATGTAGTGCGAATATTTTTTAAGTGCAATTTTATTTTTTAATACAATATAATAATACTAAACGGCCTTCTTAACCTATTTTACTGCGATGATAATAATGCCATTAAAAAAAAAAAAATAAAGTCACTAAAATATTCACACTGCATCACGAACTAACTAGGGTTACTGACGATCCAATTAATGAACGTACCTATACTACACCATATTATATATTATAGGTAGTGCAGCCATTATACAGCTCAATCACTTCCACCTTTTATTCTGCACCGTGATGGTCCGCCTGGTGACCTCGAACGATCGGACGTATTCGGGCATGTCACCGACGCCCACCAGTATCCGGGTGTATAGCTTCTCAGTATCCACCCGGAAGACTTCGTACTTGAGCGTGTTCAGCCCGTCAGCCCTGTAACGTTTCTGACTGGTGTGCACTAACTTGAGTCGGACGGCATGAGCAAGGGGTTTACGCTTAACGTGCTTGACCATCGTATACCGGGCCAACCTTTCAGGCGGCCGGGTGATCGGCAACCCGACTTGTTCCAACCTGAGTGGAAAAGATGACATAATATTAAGTATTTTGTTTTAACAGAATGGTATATGAGGTGAGCGAGGTTTGACCTTACGGCGATTCAAACGTATTTTTTTCAGATTTGAGCCATTTAGTTTTACAGGAAATTTTTAAGCAGATCATTGTTTTAAAATACATTTTTAATGAATAAAATGGGGTGAGTATGCTAGAGGATTTATTCTGAGACAGTGTTAATACATTTATTAAAAAAACGAGGCAATCATTAATGAGTACCTACATTCCTACGTCATATAATATACATTCATATTCATAGATCTGATTAGGGGGGCTTAGGGAGTATTAGCAACCTCAATTTTAAAATTAACACCCTCAAATAATGTTCGTGCTTGTGTATAAAAAACTTCTTCTTACAAAAAAAAAAAAAACTAAAATTACAAAATGCATAGATTAAACACCCTTATTTTTTTTTTATTGAAATTGCGACTATAAAAAAAAGGTAAGGTTAGGTTAGGTTATATGTTCATATTTTGTTACTTTTATAGTGTATCATAGTATATAATATTATAATAATAGATAGAACAGACTTTCCATTTTTATAAAAATACAACTAGCTTTTTAAAATTTTTATTCATAAATCCAATATAATATAATATATAATTGAAAATATGTTTATATTTAATTATTAAGTCAGCTAAAGCATTAACACGTAATTTCAGTGGCGTTACGTTAGATCACGCTATATTAAGGAATACATTTTATGTATTTAAAATTCTGTATCATAACATATTTTTTCCTGTGCGTTAAATGTCGACATATACTTATATTTAATTGCACAGGTATTAAATTTGTATACTGCTCCTCGACGTTTAGAGTGACCTGCTTGAAATTGCCACGTATTCAGAAAATAAATTTAACAACATCATTGGCATCATTATAATATCTAATACAAACTTAATCGATATTTTTTGATTTTCTATACAATTATATATCCACAAATCACAATAGTTCAAATTGTACGAAATAGGTTAAACCATTATAAAGGTTTAGTGTATAATGTATCAATATTTTATTGTCGATTGTTGTGGATACCTCACGTAGTCACGTACCTATACTCGCGTTAAATATTTACGCACCTATATATATATACAGGTAGCCAAGTAGGTTAGACTTATTATGATTGCACAATTTAAGAGCGAGGCCTTTAGGGTTTTAGAGGGCCCTTTCGTTTAAACAGTGTTCACAAAAAATGTATATTAATCATAAATGTATACAAGTAGGTACGATTGTATACACCGTTTCGCATTCGTATACACAACCAAAATGTTGGAATATAATTGTAGGTACGTGTCATTGATTTTGTCGGTATCAGTATGTCTTATGTACGCTATATATTGCGCTTTTGTTATTATATAATATAATAACCCGACATTTACCAGACATCCCTCTTGAAAAAATTCTTATTTCCGCCATTAGGTAATGAGCATACAACATGCTGTTATATAATACATACAATGTCATAAACTTTTATCCATACATTTTATATGTGTATAATTCACTGTATATATTATATCTAATATAAATATGTCATGTAAAGTATACTTACCTATATCCCATATCGTCATCTTCACCACCCCAGCCCCAAAACAAATTCGAGTAACCATTGACGAGGAAGTAATGATCCGGTCTTATATTGAACACGCCGCCCACCAATTTGTGGTAAGGTAATCTATATGATTGCAATGGAAAAAAAATTCGTGGAAATCAATAAAATTATTATAGACTTTAATTTATATAATACATTTATACACTTCCCTGTGACATCAGTAATTTACACCCTCCCCCCTCGAAAGCACATGCAGTTGCAGTACTTGTCTATCTGAGCACCATTGCACTGCTAGGTATATTTATATTCTTAACACTAGGTTATAATCATAAATAATCCTATTTTGAACTATTAACCATTATATAACATTTATCGTTAAACAGTAACCAATACACACAATACTTATAAGTTATTACATACCTATCAGCTATCTATATATTATTAATGTAATTGTATATGTCAATGTCAAAAGTCTGCGAGCGCGTTAATCCTATATTGGCTTTTACAATAAAATGTATACAATTAGTTAGAGAGGTTATAAAAGCTTACATAAATACATGATATTAATATATTATGCGCATAATATTTCAACTTTATTAATACCCGTCACGACTTCATCATCAGACATGTCTGCAGACAGCTAGTGTATGGATTGTTAATCTAATACTTGGGACGACTATGACGTCGTGACTAACATTTATAGGATAGGTATATACGTATATTTGTTCAATGACCTTAAGCTTAAGCTTAACCTGATAGACTATAATATTAATATAATAAACTATAAAACCAATCGAGGTTATTTATAAAGGATAAAACAAGAATRTAAGGAAGATATTATATTACGTAGGGGAGTATTTTTGGCACGCTGATAAAATCAATGACGGTTTTATACTTTTAACGTATTTTGATATAATTCGATAAAGCTTGTCGAATTTTTTCGATAGTTTCACGGGGCCATTGGTTTTGTTTATCGTAGTACAATATTATCACATTACTATATTATTAAATACAGGGTGCATGAATCCCCAAGTATAATCAACCCCCTTAATTTTTATTCCAGGCGGAGTTATTGATGTATAGTGTAGTTTGGTGTTGTGTCTGTTATTGCCTTTTGACTGTCGAGCCAATAAAAATGCATACATTTTCTACAAAAACATCTCTTCTGATAAGAAAATGAATCTGGTTGGTACTCTGGTCTCTGAGAAGTGAAAAGTAACTTTTCAAAATTGTAAAAAAAAATGTAACAAGGAGATAATTATGTGCTTATATGTATTGTACATATGTATTATATATGTATTAGACAGAAACTTAGATAAACTTAGATGACTTTTAAGATAATATGCACTTTTACATTTTGAGCGACCATAACYATTAGTTGGTACGATTAAAATTAAATACAATAATGAGCCAAAATAACACAATATTAGGTAATGTTGGGTGGATAACGCATCACAGGTTTAGTAGAYGTACGGTGCAAATTTTCTGCATCAAATTAAAAATGTAACAAAAGAGCCGGTAGCTAGAATTTAAATTTCTCAATGATAAGCGTTACATATAAAATATAAATTATCTTGTACATTATTCAGTATGCAAAATGTAATTAATACAGTTATAATTTGTTAAATGTATTCCTTTTAATGTTTTACAGAATAAATATAATATTTCAGTTTATTTTATTTTAAAACACATTCCTATGCCTTATCTGAATTTGTAAGTGATCCTATGACGATAATACATTACAGTATTGACAATATGGTAATAATAAAATAGTTTGGTGATATTGTCTAGGAGACTAGGAATCTAGGTATATTATACTTACTGATATTTAAATTCATTGACAGCCACCGATAGATGTCTGGGAAATTCCGGACAACTATACATGTTTCTGTCATCCTCTGGCAACATGTCCACGTCGTGGAAGACATAGCAGCCGTACAGTCCTTTATGCCAATCACCTTCGCCACGTAGTCCGTACGTACGGTAAATCGTCAAAAAAGCAGCATTCATAATTGCCCCTTTATTGAACGTTGCATTACTGACCTATATACATACAAACGTTTTGTCATAGCAGTAATTCATGTAATAAAAAATGTCTGGACATTTTAACAAGTGTAGCTAAACAATACTTATTTGTATAGTAAAAACAATAATAATAACATAACAAAAAAACAGTAATAATACTACTAATATTTCACGTATGCAAAATGACAGTAACATGTAGCGTATAGTGATGATAAAAAAGAAAACTAATATATTTGGAATAAATCGTATTTAGATGTATCAGTACCTACATCGCGCCACATAAACCAATATGTATTAAATGTTATTAAAATGTACATAAACATAAACATTTCCCCAATATTTGCTCTTACTTTTATGCAGACAAACAATAACGATTTGTGTTTGMTTAAATGGAGATTTCTTATGAAAATGTGTTWAAATTTGTCTCTAATTCCTTAATAAATTTCCCGGTCACGTTATATTCACTTGTGATGATGAACAACAGCATAATACAATAATAAAAAAAAATACTGGACAACTAATTAAGACATTCAAATGACGTTTAGGGGGCTTTCATTTGGGTGAATGGCCCAAAATAACATATCGTTTGGGCGAAATTTACAGGGGACCCCTAATTTATCTGATACGTCGTTTAGTCGAGCTATAAATATATATTTATAAACATGTATATAGACTAATAGGTTTTCCATACCATTTTTAGAGACTTAGGACTTTCAGTCAACTCCAACTGGTATAGTTATAAATCTATTATATTTTCATTTATTACCTATATAATATTTATTATCTTAACTAAATTTTTTTTTATTAGTAAGATATTGCATGCCCGTTTGTTTAATATAATTAATCATTGTTAATTTTCCGATTTGATATTCTTTCCATGATTTTAATGTATGGTCTTGTTTTTCTTTAGTATTTTTACGTAATATATTAAATCTAACAAATTATCGTTCATTATCTGTATTTGTAAATTGGCGTATAAACACCAATCAGCCGAAACGATATAATAATAATTATAAAAGTTATATAGACGTAGGTATGTTACTTCCCTATTATTCAATAATTTATAAATTCACCTAAACGATTGGTTAATTTCTCGCCCAAATAATGTAGGTATGCTTTACTCAGGTAAATTTTGGGTTATTCGACCAAACAAATGACGCCCGGCGTTTAAATACCAAATCGTTTATAATAAATATATAAGATACTTGGAGCAGGCTTGCTCATACTACGATAATACGATATTGGTACTCTTAATATTTAGGTAGTTACCTATCGTTTCTTAATATATTGTGCCTTACCTGTTCAACGACAAATATTTTGAAATCCAACTGTTGTCTTTTCAACACCGGTATGAGCCTGTACAATAATGTCCATAAATGATCCTTTCTGTCCCTATAAGGTATGATGATACACACCGAGTGTCTTGCTTTACAATCATCTGGAGCCCAAGAACCACCCACGCCCATTGATCCAACGGCGTCCACGATTTCCTCTTCAGTCATATTGACGGCTACACTATCCAATTTCTCAGCACCGTCTATCATTTTGATATTCAAACAAAACACATATTACTATTGTAGTATACTTTAAACCAAATTCAGTCGATTTATTCCACATGCATTTGTGTAACGTCAATAATTGTCATTTTTCAAATGATACACATTACTTATTATTTACTAATAAATCTCTTCGTATAGAGATAATTGATTTTAACCGTAATGCTTTTATTAATCGAGATACTTAAAATTGATCATATTGTAAATTTGTAAACTAGATTTTTTCAATATTTAGGTAGGTTTTTAAATGTGAAGAACATTTTTTTTTTTTATATCACTACCATAGTTAAGTTATTCTAGTTATAGCATTTTGAATGTATAATATTATAACACAAAATAAAACACATTTTCAAGTAAATCCTTAGTAAATCTAATGAACAAATTAGATAAATGATAATTAATTCTTTTAATTTAAACTATTTTTTATAAACTAAAAAAAATTATTTTATTTATTTTTATTACACGCTAATAGTAGTACTCAATGTGAGTATTCTTGGCTATGGACTCCAGTTACTGTGATTATATAAAATAATAATAAATTAAAAGATACTTATTTAGTTATTATTTAGTTGATCACATATACCTACACAATCATATACTTATAGTCGAGTTTTGAATACTTGAATCTCGAAAGAAATAAAAACATTAGAAATATATTTTTCTTATGTATTTTTCGAGTTTATACATCAAATACAACTTCAAGAGTAACTCAATTGTATATGTATCGTTATCAAACTATAGTATTTAATTAAAGTGCATTAATATTAATCAATATTGTATTTGATCCCGAATTCCCGAAAATTTTATATTAAAAAACTAAAGCACACCGACCACCAATGACGTGTATACGTCAACTCAAACTGACAACGATTCTACATAATTATTATTCGCTATTTTAAACATATCYTGTAGTATTTAAAATTTCTAWGATTATTGATTATGTAAATTTATCACTAATATTTCTCCAAAGTGAATAATGTGAAAGAGAGCACAAGTGATCTCGTATATCCAGTGGTACTGAGGTGAATAATATATATTTTTCAAACTATAAAATAAATTATAAATTAACGTTTTATTTTAAAATTCAACTCAATTTTAATACTTCTGTATAAAATATTTACTTGAAGTTAACAAGTTATATACGTGTAACAAAAATAACTTATTTTAATTTTTTAGTTTAAAAAAAGTAACAAATTACTTAATCTAACGTTTTAACTTAATTTTAATTTCAACTCGTTAATGCCCAGCCTAAATATACTTACATAACACGGGTGGTATTTTGGGGCACCATGGTTTTGGTCGACATGGCTCTAATCGCTCTGAAATTATATTTGATTTCTTTGCATTCTTTTGCAATTCTGCTAGTTTTTCCGAACAGTATCCGTTAGCTTCGTTCTTCAACTGAGTGACGAACAAATGAAGGTTTGGTGGCTTCGACTTCAATAAACGTTCTAACTGGAAATCTTTATTCTGTGTACTGCTAGCTGGCTAATTTTCGAAATATATTATTATATAATCAAACTAAATAGGTAGACTTTAATTAAAAATGGTATAATGGTCTATACTCTATATTATACTTACATCTGGTTTCAATTTTGCCACATGTAAGCTGTTGACCTTCAKAGAATTGTGTTTTTGTAAAGCTGGAGCCTGTAAAATGAAAAAAAGAATTTACATTTAAGAAATGCTACGAATTACGTACACTCTGTAAAATATAAATCTATACGCAAATAATATACTGTTTAGTGTGTGTGTCCCGTATATCAATAATGACCTAGTCTGTTGTAGTCATCATTTAATTTTTTTACTTTGAAAAATATTCATTTGACACTCTACGGGTATTCGGAATTAAAAATAAAAATTTTCAACAAGTTCAAGACTTATACCGCAAACCACCGAAGGTAAGGGCTGGATAGCGATACTTAGGTATTAKAACTGTTATATTCTTATATTGTTTATAAAAATGTTTAGATATAAATTATAATATTTATAARAATAGGTCAGTAGTATCTTACCTCTACCAAACTAAAATCATTAATTTTTATGTATATAGGTACTTCCTAATTTTTTTAAAACCCGATGTTATACTGTTAAGCTTTTTGATTTAGAAACAAAGGTTTTATCAACAACAATCAAAGTAAAACATTCCTAATAGATCAGTCAAAATGATATTAATATAATATCGTGCCAAATATATATATATTAAATGAATCTTTTAAACATCCACCTATGATTTTTTTTGTCAATTAGCTTTCAATCAAGTTATTATAGCTCAACAATTAATTAATATATTAATTGTTATTCCTTTTGAAAGCTGGTGTAAATATTACCGTTTTTCCGTATTTTTCAATTTTTTTTCCCCCCGTGGTTGGTTTTTTTTTTTAAACAGGAATTGTTTCCACCCCCCTACCCCTAAAAAAAAATTGCAGTTAAATCAAATTTTGTATGGGTACCATAAAAACACTTAATTTGAAGTTAAGAATTTTTACTGCTTTAAAAGGTATTATAAGCATACTTATTTATTGTGCACAATAAAATTTTAAGCAAAAACGCGGCATTGACCATTGTTAAATCTGCAATAGGTGCATCTCCCACTCCRCTCAGAAGATATAAATGTAATAAGAAAATAAATTTCTTGTCAAGGACGACAAGGACTTAATCACTTAATCAATATTAACTTTTAATTAACAAAAACTACGCGTTACAATTACAAAAAAGTAATAATAATTACAAATACAAATACATTTGTAGACCGAGTAAACGTGTAAATATTAAATCATTTAAAAAAAGACTCACTCGAGTTATGGCTATGAAGCACATGGCGAAAACGACGAGCAACACTAAAACGAACGGTAGCACCTTGATTGTCCATGCCCAGATCTTTGCGGTCGGCGTGTAGCGAAATACTCGGGCTCTCTGTACTCTCACTACCACCATGACATGAAATAATAAGCCTCATGGCTCGCCTGACATGGACGCGATCCTCTGCGACAACCAGCAAGGACACGCGAAACCCGATATAATATTATAAGTAGGTAGGTATTATATCGTGTGATGCTGTCTCAGGCACAGACGTCGTTAATCTCGTCGACGGTTTTTGTTCAGGACGACGAGACGAAAGCAGCTGTGGCGGCGTCGTGATCATGTCGCGCGTACGAGTTGCAATCGACTGACGGACGAGCCCGGTGCGACGACAAATTCTAGCAAACTTTTTTTTACTAGAGGTACATACCTACTAAAATACGATTTGTTTTGACGGTTCTAAWAAGTCGTCGTTGGTCAGCAATGGTTACGGGTAGTTAACTTACCTGGCCACAGTTATATTAGTTGGTAGTTGTTACACTGCAGCGTGCAAACAGAGGACTATCTCATTCAACGCGGTCGCGCACATGCTTATTGATTTTTCTCGGCCATATGACCGGCACCACTCCCGGGTCTCGGGCCGCACGAACACGACACACGCGTAAATTTTAAGACGTGTACAGAGCGAGTACAATAACAAATATATTATACATTTGTAATACACACGTCGTATTATGATTGATTGGTATATTTTTTTTTTTTTATTGATCTGACATCTTAGCATCAGCAATTATTATGATCATTATAATTTTTGTAGGGGGATTACGGTTGGTCGAGACACACGTGTATATGTGACTATGAGAGATGAGGATTCCGTCATTAAAAATCTAGGTAGTCACCCATCCGAGAACTAGTGACGCCGAATAATGCTTGATCTCAGAACACGTTAGTGACAGATAACAACAATCAAGTCACGCCAGCCCCCTATAATTATTGGTATTATAATCGAGTGATTTTTTTATGAATAGGTAATGATTGTCTGTTTCCACGAATAGGTTGTCCGCGATCATCGGTATAATAATTATTATCGTTATTATAACAGTGCGATTGGTTTACTTTTCCAAGACTAATACATAATATAATATGGTTTTAGTAAAAGTTCCTATGTATTTGAACTTTTTCCTATGTATAAATTAAATATAATAATTATTGTTCTAAGTAGGTAATGCTGTAATAGTAGGTACCTACCTACCTACGTTAGAACAGCTAGCAACTAAGTATTATTTTTTCCATACCTAATGAATATGATTTCCACTTTTCAAGACTGATATTTGTCTCTTTATTTTGTAATTCTACTAGTTACAGCTACAAAGAGAAAAAAACAATAATTATTGAATAAAATAATATTTTCAATTAATAATCCTACCCCAAAATGGCAAAATATAAATTTGATTTATGAAACACAATCACATAAGGCATTAAAACAATAGGTACATKAATATATTTGTAAATAAATAAATATTAGGTAGGTTGGTACTGTTGGTAGGTATAATTTTATAGGGTATAGACTATAGTATAGGTACTCAATAACAGTTTGTGACAATGTTAAAAATATCACTGTCATAGACTTTTAAAATTCCTTTAAATTKTATCACCTAAGATGTTTCAATGAGGGAGAGGGAGGCAAAAATGTGTAATTGACAAACCTGAAATTCATCATAATATATGTTACAGAAAATTAATTTTATAAATAATATGGTATACTGGTACATAATAAAATACAATTATTAATGTTATTAGAATTATTAAAATTTAACAATATTTATTTTGGTAACGAGTAAAACCAATTGCATAAGACAAGTAACAAACAAGTTTTTAGAGCAACATGAAAGTTAACAATAATTTAACATTGAACTTAAAGGAACTTGATGATTTGACAGTTAACATTTTTACAATTCTTAAAATATTAACCAACTTCATACAAAATTAGATTAATATGATTGATATAAACATGAACATGAATAATTAAAAAAATATATTTTTTTCAATATTGTTACACATTTTATAAAGAATGACAGTGCAATGAAATAAATACCTATGTTGAGAAACAGTTACCTATAGGTAAATTTAGGTAAATTAGGTACTTTCTCAATAATTGAGTATAACATAAATTACCAAGTTGATTAAATAAATCTTTACAATATATATATTAAGTTATAAAATATCACTTAAAATGTATAAAAAAAAATTTGTTATGTAATTGTTGAATGATAATAGTATTATACTGAAAGTTCTAAATAAAAAAATAAAATAAAATAGTATTAATGAGTTCATAAAATGTATCMTAATACCTATAAATGTTTTTTTTTAAATACTTCAAGTTAAGAAGTAAGAAAAATGCAAATTAAATTGACCAGAATAATTATTAAAAACAATGTTTTTCTTTAAATAAATATTACATATTATAGTATAACAGTATACTCAATATTACTTAAATATAAAAACATTTAAATACAATAATATTGTATCAAATATTGTCAATAATTAAAATATTATTTTAGAGTTTTCAGCTTTAAGTGCAATTATTGAAAATGTTGATGATAATGACAAGAGATATTTTAATATATTTTAATAGGTACCTATATTAATAATTATTATACATACAAAAATACAAAATACATAAGTTATTTTTAAGTGTTAATTGATTAATTTAATTATTTGATACAA